ACAATGTTTACTCTTGAACACTGGATTCCTTTTTGACTCAGTGTGGTTTCTAACGTTAATTCCTCTACCGGAGTGTTCTTTTTCTTAGTCATCATCTAAGATCTGATTCAAATTACAGTTCTTTCTTGGGTAACTTAAATACGAAATTATCTTTTTATTGGTTTTGTTGTTGTTGTTGACACAGGGTCTCACTCTATTACCCCGGTCAGAGTGCGATCTAGGCTCCCTGCAGCCTCCGCCTCCTTGGTTCAAGTGATCCTCCTGCCTCCTGAGTAGGTGGGACTACAGGCGGGCGCCACCACCCCTGGCTAATTTTTTTATTTTTAGTAGAGAGGAGTTTCACATGTTGCCCAGGAGGCCGTGAACTCCTGGACTTAAGTGATCTGCCCGCCTTGGCTTGCCACAGTGCTGGGATTACAAGCATGAGCCACCACATCCCTGCCCTTTTTATTGTTTTTAACACCTTCCCTCCTTCAACGTGATACACACATCTCAGCAAGGATTTAATTTTCTTCCTCATTTCAGGAGAGTAGACAGGGTTTCATGATTACAGGATTAAGGGAATGTTTTGTATTCATGAAAAGGAAATGTTTTGTACTCATAGGAAAAGCAGGTAGATCCCTAAAGATAATGGGAGGTGAGACAAATGGTAGAGCTGGGAAGGAAGACCTTTGCTAGGAGTCTGTTTGCCTCCAGGGCACTACTCTTACGCTCTAGAAGGAATGGGCTCCTGGACAGGTAAGTGCTTTAAGGTCCATGTAAGGAAGATGGAGGGCACGTCAACAAATGGAGTTTTGGAATTCTCAACAGGCCAGAGGGCTCAGGCTGGATTTGAGTCAGTCAACTATAAATATATTACATGTTCCCCAAATGCCATGAAGCAATTCCCACCTGTTACAGAGAGGTACATAAATGATTCATATAAAAATATAATGTTCTGAGACATTGACAAAATATAGTGGTTCATTGGGAGACAATATAATGAAAATTTACCAATAAAAAATTTAAATAATTATCTGATAACTTTTCTTATAAAAATTAATAGTATTTTAAAAATAAGTAAATTAATTATATTTGCAACAAGGCCATAGAAAGCAAAAGCTTTTGAGGAATAAGGAGAATCTTAACTGAGAGCAATTTTTAAAAACTATATTTGACATGATAAAAAAAGTTTTAAAACTTTCTACATAAATATTTTCATACTTCTGAAAGTACTTCAATAAAAATAAAAATTTGGCCAATGATCTATTTAGTATGATTTCAGTGCCAAATTTCTTTTCTAGTTTTATCTCTAATTCTCTTCATCAGTCTCAAGTGCTAATCAATTTCTATGCTCCAGGCTTTACTGTTTTCAAAACTTTGCTAATATGCCAGCCTCCCACATTAGTTGTTCCCATCTTCACCTTACTCCCTAATACTACCCCATCCGTCCAGATCCTCTCCATTCTTCAAGATCTAGTTCAAGTATTAGCTCCTCTAAGATTTCCTCAACTTCTACACTAAAAACACTTTTGAATTATTCACTTGGATTATAGCTATTTGTACATATCTTATTTCCTTCTAAGGTTCTTAAAGGCAAGTATCATGTTTTGTTCATATTTGTATTCCTCACAGGGTCAATTTTCCATTAGAATTCAAGTTCTATTGAAAACCAAGCCCTTGAATATCTTGTTCATCACTGTATTCCCTAGTATCTAGCACAAGACCTGGCACACAGTAGGCATGTTATAATATATTCTGAGTGAGGGAGTAAATGGATTTTAAAAACAGCTCCATGAAGGCAGGGATTTGTTTGTTTCATTCATTGCAAAATGAGTATCTGAATGTAAACATGAAGGCTTAGCATTCATTATATACAACAAAATTCTTTAATCTGCAGAGCATCATAAAAGTCAAATATGAAGTATTTATGTTGCCTTTCACCCAACAAATTCAGTTGATATCTTTCTGAAAATACATCCCCCAAAACTGCAGTATAATTTTAAAGAATCAAAATAAAATAGATGTTGATATTAAAGTAGTTTCAGTTTTGTTTGTATTTTTCTGTGTTCTAAATTTTCTGCAATGAAAATGTTTTTTTATAATCAGAAAAAATAATCAATATTATTTTTAAAGAATGTAGTGGGTGAGATCATTTGCAAATGTATACCTGAGGAAATTTTGAGGACATCAAGGTCAATCAAGGTGATTGGGAATTAATACCACAGAGGAAAATACTGTCCTGAGAAATACGATACTTCTTTCAGGGACTGAATTATGTCCTTCCCCACAGATTTATATGTTGAAGCCCCAACTTCCAATGTGATGTATTAGGATATGAGGATTTGGGAGGGCAATTAGATTTGGGTGAGGTCATGAGGGTAGGGCCCTCATGATATGATCAGAGTACCCTTATAAGAAGAGACACCAGAGAGCTTGCTTGCTCTCTCTCGGCGTCATGTGATGACACAGTGAGAAGGTGGCCACTGGCAAGCCAGGAAGAGAGACTTCGCCAGAGCCCAACAATGCTGGCATCCTGATCTTGAACCTCCAACCTTTAATAGAAATAAGTTTCTGTTGTGTAAGCCACCCAGTGTATGGTATTTTGTTATAGCAGCCCAAGCTGACTAAGATAGACTAAGCAGACTAAGATCCAAACTGTTGTGTGGTAAGTAGCTTTCTGATATTGAGAGAGGATCCCCTTACTCTCAGATTTAGTCAGTAAATGTTTATTAAATGTCTATTGTGTTCCATGTCCTGTGAAAAATGCTGAGGATTCAAGGATAACTAAGAAAAGGTTCCTACCCATAGGGAGCTCGTTTAATAAGAGGCAAACATGTAAATAAACTTTAAAAGGTGTTATATGTGCTCTGACAGAAGTATGTATTAGGGGCCCAAAAGTTAGAGTAATTGTTTCTATCTGTGGTTTAAGTGGGGATAGGTTGGGTTGGTCAGTACTCTATCAGGTTAACCCTAAGTTCACCAACCAAGTCAAGAGATGTGACTTTCCATGTGGCAACAAACCCTGGCCTTCACATGGTGAGCCCTGCTGAATGGTCAGCCTCTGTCATTCTTGACCTCACCAGCTCCATGATATATAACAGCAACATAGTCTTATAGCAATTAATAAATTCCTACAAAGAGCTTCCAGGAATAGGCACAAATTTCAGAGATCCAATAGAGGAAGTCAAAAGGCCAGCACTGGGCAGTCACAGAGATTTAGATGGTGGCTACCCTCTTAGAGGTAGAAAAGAGCTTGCTGCATGACCTGCAAAATGAAACAGTTATTGGCAGTGGCTGTCTGAGGTGTCCTTCAATCATTTCTATATTCTGTGGACTTTCATTTCTAATTTTCCTAGGGGCCCTAAACATATTCAACAGCATTCTCATTTAGTAATAGTAACTGTATTTTGTATAAGTTAATAAATATTCCAAGCCTGTTACTTGGAGAAAATGCCATTGATGACCTGGGAAACAGCATGAAGTGTAACACTTTTTGGTCTCACATCCGTTTTGCTGGCTAAGTCCTAATCATCCCTCAGCCAATACCCTACTTTCTCTAGGAAGCTGTGCCTAAACTCCACCACCCTTGGTTTGATTGAATGCTCCTGCCACGAGATCCCTAGCACCCCTGTAGTTCCTGCATAATAGCACTTATCATATTGTTTTGCATTCTTTTGTTTAATTGTCTGTCATCTCTATTGGACTGTTAAATCCTTAAGGACAGGGACAATATTATTCTTGATGATGTGCCTGGATCTCAAAAGCTTTCAGTAAGTATTTTTTGGATGCATCTACTTTTAAAGCCAGGAAAAATAGAGGACCAGATGATTATTAAGTTTATGGTGCTTCCAGCAAAGTGCACTTAACCAATGAAGTTCAGTTCAAAACACTTATCTGACCTCTGGTATAAATTAATCAAGTCCAAACCAAGAGCATAAACATTAAAGGAATACAGCACCATAGGTAACCAAAGTCAAGCTGACATAAAATTAAAGGCTATTTAGGAGAAGTGAATATTAAACTAGTTTTGAATAGAGGTGAAAGCCATGGTGGATAGGGCTCAAACAGAAGTCTAATGAAGAGAGGAATGGACGGGCTTTATTTACGCAGATCAAGTTGGTGGGATTAGGATATTCATAATTCATTAATCTAATACATATTTAATATCTGCTTCAAAATTAAAATGAACTTTGAATTCCAGGTCGAGGAGTTTAGATAGGATATGACAAGTATATAATAAGCACTTCAGGTACACAGATAGCATGATAAAAACTGTAAACTGTATGTGAATGTGATTATTTCAGTAACTACACAGAAGATGACCTAGAGTGAAGAGGAACTTAACAAGTGATACACAAAAGCAGAGATGGCCTGTTACAAAGTAGGATAAAATATGACCTATGCAGGTAAGTCTTTCTTCTAATATTTTCTCTCCTGGCAAGTCACAATTTCTGAAATTACTGCCACAGAAGTCACTCTTTTGGTTTAAGGCAATGTCTTTCAATAGCTTTTGTTTGCATGTAAGAATATGCTACTAAGTGATGGTAACATCCAACACAGTGGAAACTCTGGCCCCGAAAATCTGATGTTCCGTTCCTCCTAGGGGTATGAATGCTTACCTAGAGACAACACTTAGTTGCCTCACAGCTGGATATGATCATTACCAATAAATGTAGGAGAAGAGATGTGTCCAACTTCCACATCCCTTCCTCAAAAATACATTGCTATACTTGCATTTTTCTTGATAGAATGGAGACATGGTAGAGATCCATTTTTAACCCATTTATGCCTAGTGTTCCATTATTAGAATGCTAAGCCTGTGGGAGTTATTTATATCCTACTGCTCAAGGTCATCGCCAAGGTCTGATTTTTCACAAAAAATGTTTGCAACCTCTGGCATAAATAAGTTAAGCCATGTCCTAAGCTAGGACATGGCAGAGCTTCAGGACAGAAAGACATGGGACTCTGAGCAGACGTCATGAGCAGAGTAACCCTGTTAGTATTAACCAACCAGCCAGTTTCATTAGAGGGAAATAGAATTCTATTTTCTTTTAAGCACTGTATTTTTTGTTTCTTCATTATAGCACATTACCCTAATGTAATATTCATGAGACTGGCATAGATTTGAAACTTACCTATCTCCCAACTAGAAATGGGAAGAGCCTAAAGATATGGGTCATAAGAAACAAATAAAAAAGGGGCTGGATTAGGGCACTCCTTACGGGAAGGTAGACTCACATGGGCAGCTGAAATAAAGGAATCTGCGTGGTCAGCTAGGGGGCAGGATAAAGTTTTTTGACATCTGGAGGGGGCAAGAGGATGAACTAATGAAGATACTTCATGTACTTTAAAATTTTAGTGGGACCAATCAGTCACGGTAATTTAAAGAAAGATAGTAAGGGAAGGAGAAATGGAGAAAAGGCAGATTATCAGGGAAACGAGGGTAGAAATTCATGAGCGACTGCATTATGATGTTTAACAACGAAAACAAAACCAAAAAAGAGGAGCCAAAACCAATTCAAAGCATCAGAGCCTGGGCAAATATGAATCAGGAAACTGTCAGAGGTAAAAGTTAGAGCAATCCTAGCTGAAGAGGATACTGAAGCTGGTCTTTCCCATGTTAACTGTAAACTGTGGTAGTACATTAAAGTAGATATGTCCTTATGCAAATTAAGATGGATGATGAAGGGGTGTTTGAAAAAAAAGGTAGAGAGATTAAGGTTGGTGATATAGATCATTACCACCCACATGGAAAGAGCAAGGGCTAAAAATGCTGTTTAAAGAAATAGCTACACTTCTGGTTCTATTACATTTTAAGCTTAAACATTACATATTTCAATGTGCATCTCGAAAAAAGTAGCAGCTTTCTGATTATTATGCTCAGCACTCTCTCTTTTCACCTCTAAACTTGCACAGAAGTCTCTCCTTGAACTTCTTCATCTTTATTTTGATGTTCAACTTTCTGCAAAAGCCTGGGGCCCAGTAAACCAATAAGCAGACTTCCAATTGGGGCTGTGATAAGGATGGACAAAAATGCCACTGTCAACACATCCATTCCGTAGTCTTCTAATTGTTTCTCTCCATGCGACCTTGCTGTGTCCAAAGCCACAGATCCTATTGCAGCCTATAAAAGTTTAAGGGTAAAGATGGAATCATGATAAGACAAGCACATATAAAAAATGAATTTTTTTATTGTTTGCAAAAGCAAATTGCTTGGTTTTTTGCTCAACTAAGAAAGTTCTTTTAGTCTTCTTTCAAAGTGTATTGCAGGTTTTTTTTTGTTTTGTTTTTTTACTTTTTTAGAGACAGGGTCTCGCTGTGTTGCCCAGACTGGTCTTGAACTCCTGGCCTCAAGTGATCCTCCCTCCTAAGCCTCCCAAAGTGCTGGTATTACAGGTGTAAGTCACTGTGCCCAGCTCAGCTTGGTTCTGATGATTTAAAAACTCTCTCTGCCCTTGTGTGGGAACATACTGATGACTCATTTGTACCTATCTGTGTAAGGTAGGGTTACATAAATATCAGTAAAATACATTTCAAAACACAAAGCAAATTTAATATTAATTAAATATAACATAAAGTTCTATGTACTAAATTTTTCCTGAATAAAAATGAAAATTATTGGTCATCTCCTTTTATCTTTAGGAATCTGGAACTAAAAAATAAGATGAAAAACATGCAGTGATACCTACTGAAAACTGTTAAATTTTAAATAAATATATATTACTTTAGAGCTTAAACTCATTGTCAAACATCATGAAACATGAAAATAGTGGACACCTTGACAACTTGAAGCTGATTTTATTAGGTATTTGGTCAACTCTTTGCCTCACAAGTTGGTGAAATATTTTATTTGGAATGTATCTATTGGAAAGTATTATGAAAATTCTCGGTTTCTTGTAGAGGTAAAAATGCAATATTATCAGTGCAGATGGGAAAAATGTATTAATTAATCTGGTTTTCCCTTATTCCACAGAGAACAATGTAAGCCTCTAAGACAATGAAAAAGAAAAGTGTGCATCTGACACAATGGCAGAAACTACTAATTGCTCACAAAAACCTGAATGCCCCCTTTCCCTTCTACAATAGAACTCCTGAAGTTTGGTTGGTCACATTGCTGTCCAGAGACCTTTTTATAGAACTCTTAGCCATTATGTTTCAGACATTTTTGAAAGTCTGATGGGGTGGGGGAAATTCTGGAGTAATGCCCAAATGCAAAGAGCATATAATTGAAATCTGGAATATAATTACTGAGCATACACATCACCCAAAGCCTCCTAAGTGAAAAACCTTGATTTTAATTCCTTAATAACAGAAATTTGAATATTTAATTATAAAATAATCTGGGACAAAACAGTTAAATGTTGTTTGATGTAATTAGTCTGAAAATATACAACCAAAGATACATCACATTTGCAACAAATCATAATCTATATAGTTCTAACTTAATTAGCAATCATAGGTATTCTAACAAATGCATGGTCAACAAATTCAAGCACCTATCTATAATAGCTTTATTTATCACATGTTTATTAGAATGCACAAATTTTTGGTTAAGTGAATGAGACATTTGCCAGGAAGTTCAGTGAGTTTTGAATAATTAATATCAACTAATAATCTAGGAAATCAATAAACTACTTTCTAGGTTGTTTTTCAATAAATCTTTTCTCCATTACATACAAAGACTCTGGTCAAGCTCAACTGATCATCAATCATATTAACATTAAAATATCTCCAAACATTAAGGGGGCCATGTTATTTCTATTTTATTCTTTTCTTGGAAGCTATTAACATGAAAAGAGTTAACAACTCTTTCCTTGGGTGACTTAGAGAGTGCTGACTGATGAAATTCAAACTCTTCTCTCCTGTTACTACTGCTTTCTAGTAGAATAGGGATTTACTGGATTTTTACTTGTACCCTGGTGATCTAAGGAAATTTAATGAGCTATCACATTTAAGGAATGAATATACCAAAAATACAGGTTTTAAAGAATAGATTAGGATAAACTTTTCACACATCCACTTCAATTATTTATTTTCACTAAATTTAAACAAGCTCTCTGATTCAATATTTCAAGGTGTCATGCAGAAATAGCAGTTAAAATACTAAGCCATCCTATCCATCATACCTGAACTGTGGCCTTTGGAAGCCATGCAAAAGAAATAAATATCTTTTCTTTTAAGTTAAAACCAGCAAAACACACCATCAGAAATGTAGTCAAAATTCGTATCAATACTGCAATGCCTACGGTGGCAACACAAAGGCCTGTAAGAAATATTCAATTTTTAGAAATAATAAAATACTAGGAGAGAAATTGTATCTCGTGGTAACTAATTCAAAATAACCATCAACAGAAATAATTTTTAAAGCATTAAAAAATTACAAATACAAAAATATTTAGGCAGAATATATAAAAACAATTAATATTAAGGATCAATCAGGCTATTTGTTTAAAATAAGGTGTTTCCTTAGATTAAAACCAGAAATTAAGCATATTTGAATTCTTACATGGAAGATTTGAATGTTATATATGTATTATGCTTTATAGCAAGGACCATGCTTTTTCATGTGTGTAAGAAGAATTTATTAAATGATATGATTAAATGATAAGTAATAAGCTTTAAACTAAGTACTGGGTACACATAAATGTACAATATATAGACTTTGCCTCAAAGTCAGAGGAAGACAGAAACATAAACAACTAATTCGTAGATTATACAGGAAGTGAGGTATAAACAAACTGAGGGCATAAAAGAGGGAAAAGTAATATTTTCACCCAAAAAGTCAATAATTCTTTACAGGGTATAAGACCAGAAGTGATATCCAAAGTGTTTATGAGCCAGTATGGAGGGAATTAGCCAATCAGAGCTGGCTGGGCAGTGACCAATCAAAACAGACACTGGCAGTCTACCACTGTTTCACCATACTGATGTGTAATGGTCGTACTGGTCCCATTTATCCCTGGTTAACATATACAGCTACTCCATGTAGTCCTGTAGAACTCTGTTGATAAAGACAAGTTCATCATCATTTGCCAAACAAGGGATTGTGACTAGTGCTGCTGCATGCTACTGGACCTAAGAATGGTACAGCTAAGATGACTCCTGAGTATTAGCGTGATTTTTTTAAAAAGTAACATTTGTTGAGTGTTTACTCTGTGCCAAGTGCTGTACTAAGCTTTAAATGTATTATTTTACTTAGTCCTTACAACCTGTGGGATAAGTATTATTTTATAGTTGAAAAAACCAGAAACTCAGAAAGGATAAGTACTTTTCTCAAATTCAAAGGGTTGATAAAACATCAGATAGACATAGCGGGAGGATCCGTTGTAAATCTGCCAGATGGCTTTTTTATGGGAAAGTTCTGTGGTTCTTTGTTGAAAGGTATTTCTTCAAGGTTGGAACGTATTCAAAAATATCTGTAGCCTGAAGTACAAGATAAAGAGTTGATACCATTCCCAGAAGGAAACATTGAAAGTTTGAGAAGAGGATGAGAAGGAAGTTTTACCTGAGTTTGAAGTTTAACAGGACATACAAGTGGTGCTGTCCAATCAACAACTGGATATATTGATTTAGAGATAAATAGTTTGGAATTATACAGTTTACAGTTGATGTCACTAGTATAGATAAGGTTAGAGAAGTGATATAGAGCCAGAGGCACAGAAGGCCTTGGAAAGAACTTTGATAAAGGGCAGCGTTTAAGCTACATGTGGTGTAAGGAAAGGCTCAAACAGCCCTGGGAAATAAGAAGTTTAAGAACTTAATATAAAGAAGTGTTAGAGGGTCAAAAGCAGCAAATGCTGCTGAGAGATCAAGTAAAGCAAAGACTGGATTTAGCAATATTACCTTGGTGAGAGCTTGGCAGGTTGTGTGATAGGCAGAAGCTGCGCTAAAATGTATAGAAGGAAATGGGAACTGAAGTGGAAAGGGGAATGTAGTGACCTATTTTGAAAAGTCTGAAAAGAAGATGAGAGAGGTAGCATGGTAGAGATGGGGGAAAGTGAAATAGAGAAATTATATATATATATTTTTATATATATAAGTTTAACATATTATTTTAATACACATTATTTTAATTGTAGTAAAATACACACAACATTCACCATCTTAATGATTTTTATGTGTATAGTTAGTATCATTAAGTATATTCACATTATTATGCAACCAATCTCCAGAATTTTTTCATCTTGCAGAATTTAAACTCTATACCCATTAAACAACAACTATCCATTTCCCTCTACTCCCAGCCCCTGGCAAGTACCATTTATGAGTTTGACTACTCTGGATACCTCATGTAAGTGGAATCATACAGGGTTAGTCTTTTTGTGACTGGCTTATTTCACTTAGCATAATGTTCTCAAGGTTCATCCATGTTGCAGCATGTGTCAGAAGAGAAGCATTTTTTTTTTAAAGGTAAGAGAGACTGGAGACTAAATTCTGAAGAGAAGAAAATTGTGATATGGATATTTACGATGTACGAGAAAAGGAAAGAATCCATACAGAAGATTCGGAAGGAGGTAGCCAGAGATGGGATTCCTAGTATGGATGGAAGAATACTGTAATGGAAGGAAAGGAGGAAATAATGAGTACATGTATGCAAATTAATTTTTAAGTGCAGTGTTTTGAATCAAGAGAGTTTTAATATGATGGCTTTTGAATGTATGAATAAATAAAATAATTAATGAACAACCAGGCATTTCTATCCCATGGGTACAAACTATAGAACTAAATAGTTGTCTTTAAAATTCTCACTCTTGTTCAGGACAAGGCTAGATGAATATTCTTACCCTTGGAAAAAGAATTGTAAGGCCTGAATTTTCTGGGTAGTGGTCAGCAGTGTCACTTTTATATACAAGGAACAATATTAAATGTGTAAAATATACTGTCTTAGATGAACAAGCATTATTTTCTAACCAACTACTCTAAAAAACTTAGATCATAATTAACTTTTTATATAATTTTGACAATAGGAACCACTGTACACATACCAACTGGAGATATTTCAACTGAATATATAAAGTAGATTTTATTGGTAAGTAGGTTGACCAAAAAAGGTGAATTTTAACAAAATACACTTTTAAATTCTTACCTACAGTTTCTGGTCTGAGAGACGCAATAGATACCTCTGCTCCAATTAGTCCAAAAAGAAGGGGTTGAAAAATGTCCCAGGCAACTGCAATTATCTTTTCAACCTCTGCCTAAAAGAACAACAAAACACACACAGATTTTTATTATGTGAAGTTACAAATGCAAAGAATTTTATTAATTTGAGGTTTGAATTATTTGGCCTGAGATAAGCTTTATTTCTGTGCCATCTATAACTAAAAGGTTAGCTAGAACAGAGCAAAAAAATTGCATGAAGCTCTTTCTAATACAGTTAAGATACATTAGGTGTTTTGGCATACTAAATATTAGTTTGCACATGGATGTTAATAAAAAGATTCTTATAATCTTATGAGGACTCCTACTTCTGAATACATCGTGTGTGTGTGTGTGCATGTGTGTATACATATTGTAATATATAGTAGTGTTTTGTAGTTTAAAATTTTATGTCACCTTTCCTTCAACAATATGATTCACAGAGCTTGCAATATTGGTACATATATGTAGATATGCCCCTATTACTGCTGCATAGTAATATACAGTATGGAAGTACCATAGTTTATTCAATCATTTCTTTGTTGACAGATCTTTAAATTGTTTCCAGCTTTATCTGTACAAAAAAACACTGTTTAAGATTATCTCAAATCATGCACAAGAGTAAAATCCAGGTTTACTAAAGTGATTATCAGTGCAATTTATCACTTTATTACCCATTATCTCCAATTCCTCTTTCACTGTTGCTCCACAGAATATGCAGCTGGACCTTTAAAATATTTTTCCTTTGCCAGGTAGCACCATGTTAAACTTTGTCAGTAGAGTGTGCTAAAGAGATATTGCATGCTGAAGGTGCTTTTCTTCCTGGTTTCTATGGCTCTTCCTAGCAAGATCTTATAGCATGTACTGGTGGCTTTAGCTCTAGGTTCCTGCATCCCAGGTGGCTTTTCCAGTATCAGGGTCCTACAGTTCATGCAGCCAGCAGCACCTAGTGGCCATTAGGTTCCCTAGCATACTCCTGGGGCAGTTTCATAGCAGATTCTCTTGATCAAGATACCTCCCCATGCACCCTAGGAGATGGATCTCCTGCAAATTGGGAAGGTAGATTTTCAGCAAATTCTGCAAGCACAGCACCACAGCGACTTCTCTAGGCTCTGACAAAGTCTGGATCTCAGCCCTATAGGCAGGAATGAGGAGGGGACAGGCTTAAGGGGATGATCTATTATAGCCATAGGCATAGCTATTCCTATATTCTTTAAGGATGTCTTCACATCTTACTAGCCAATATCTTGTTACTCGAATCCCTGGTTTGGTTAATAATCAACTTTCCCTATTCCAGTTACTATGTGATTTCTCTATCCTCATGGGACTCTAATTGATACAAGAACTAACTTTGTAACACATAATGGAAAAGACTCTAGGAAAACAGTGACACAACTGACTAGAGTAAAATTAAAATGTGTTGTGGAGAAAGAAGACATAAACCAAAAAAGTGCAAACTAGAAGAAAATATCTGTATCATGTATAACAGAATAAGAAACATTAGCCAATCAATAAAAAAAGACATAGACTGTAATAGAAAAATGGGCAATGAACCCAGAGACAACATCATCATACTGAATAGGCAAAAGGGGGAAGCATTCCTTTTGAGAACCAGAATAAGACAAGGATGCCCACTTTCACCACTCCTATTTAACCGGAGTACTGGAAGTCCTAGCAAGAGCAATCAGGCAAGAGAAAGAAATAAAAGGCATGCAATTAGGAAGAGAGGAAGTCAAACTATTTCTCTTCACAGATTATACTATACCCAGAAATACTATATCAAGAATAATATAGAGATGCTATACCTAGAAAACTTCATAGTCTCTGACCAGAGGCTTCTAGATCTTATAAACAACTTCAGCAAAGTTTTAGGATAAAAAAAATCAATGCACAAAAATCAGTATTTGTATACACCAATAACATACAAGCTGAGAGCCAAATCAAGAACGTGATCTCATTCACAATCGCCACAAGAAGAACAAACCACCTAGGAATACAGCTAACCAGGGAGGTAAAATATCTCTGCAATGAGAATTACAAAACACGGCCAAAAGAAATCAGAAACGACACAAATGGAAAAACATACCATGCTCATGGATAGGAAGAATCAACATTGTTAAAATGGTCATATTGTCCAAGGCTATTTACATATTCAATGATATTCCTATCAACCAACCAATGACATTTTTCACAGAATTAGAAACAAAAATTCTAAAATTCATTTGGAATCAAAAAAGAGCACGAATAGCCAAGGCAATACTAAGCAAAAAGAGCAAATCCAGGGACATCACACTACCCAACTTCAAACTATACCACAAGGCTACAGTAACTAAAACAGACGGTACTAGTACAAAAACGGACACATAGACCAATAGAACAGGCTAGATAATCCAGAAACAAAACTGCACACCTACAACCATGTGATCTTTGATAAAGCTGACAAAAACAAGCAACTGGTAAAGGACCCCCTATTCAATAAAATGTGCTGGGATAACTGGCTAACCATATGCAGAAGATTGATGCTGGACCCCTTCCTTACACCGTATATAAAAATCAATTTAAGATGAATGAAAGACTTCAGTGTAAAACCGAAAACTACAAAGCCCCTAGAAGATCCAGGAAATACCATTTTGGACACTGGCCCAGGCAAAGACTTCAAGATGAAGACTCCAAAAGCAATGTGACAAAATAAAAAATGACAAGTGGGACCTTATTAAACTAAAGAGCTCTGCACAACAGAAGATACTACCCATGGAGTAAACAGATAACCTTTAGAACAGGAGAAAATATCTGCAAACCATGCATCTGACAACAGTCTAATGTCCAGAATGTTTAAGAAACTCAAACAAATCAACAAGCAAAAAACAACTCCATTAAAAAATGGGCAAAGCACATGAACAGACACTTCTCAAAAGGAGACACACATATAGCAAACAAGCATATAAAAATGCTCAACATCACTAATCACTGGGGAAATGCAAATCAAAACCGAAATGAGACACCATCTCTCATCAGTCAGGATGGCTATTATTTTTTTAATATTTAAAATTAACCACAATATCTGAGCTTTTGGAAGTAAACTGGGTGACCAAATATCAAAGGAAACATAACTGTACATCTTTTGATACTTTTTAATTTTTTGCAAAATTTATTTCAAATTCAGGGACACATGTGCAGGTTTGTTACATAGGTAAACTTGTGTCATGGGAATCTGTTGTACAGATTATTTCATCATTCCGGTATTAAGCCTATTAGTTATATTTTTCCTGATCCTATTCCTCCCACCCTCCACCCTACAATATGCCCTAGTGTGTGTTGCTCTCCTCTACATGTTCATGTGTTCTCATCATTTAGCTCCCACTTATAAGTGAAAACGTGGTATTTGGTTTTCTGTTTCTGTGTTAGTTTGCTAAGGATAATGGCCAGCCACTCCATCTATGTCCCTGAAAAGGACATGATCTTCTTTTTCATGGCTGCATAGTATTCGATGGGGTATATATACCACATTTTCTTTATTCAATGTATCATTAATGGGCATTTATGTTGATTTCATGTCTTTGCTATTGTGAATAGTGTTGCAATGAACATACCCATGCTTGTGTGGTTATAATAGAATGATTTATATTCCTTTGGGTATATACCCCGTAATAAGATTGCTGAGTCAAATGCATTTCTGTCTTTGGTTGTTTGAGGAATCACCACACTGTCTTCCACAATGGTTGAATTAATTTACACTTCCACCAACAGAATGGCTATTATTAAGTAAAAAAATAACAGATGATGGTGAGGTTGTGGAGAAAAGGGAATGCTGATACACTGCTAGTGGGAATGTAAGTTAGTTCAGCCAATGTGGAAAGCAGTCTGGAGATTTCTCAAATAAACAGAACGACCATTTGACACAGCTATTCCATTACTGGTTATATACCCAAAGGAACAGAAATCATCCTACCATTAAGACACATGCACGTGTATGTTCATTAAAGTGCTATTCACAATAGCAAAGACATGGAATCAACCTACATGCCCATCAACAGTAGACAGATAAATAAAATGTGGTACAGATACATCATTGAATACTATGCAGATATAAAAAATGAAAAAAGCTGGAGGTATCACACTACTTGAATTCAAACTATACTACAAGGCTACAGTGACTAAAACAGTAATGGTACTGGTACTAAGACAGACACATGGACCAAAAGAACAGGCTAGAGAACCCAGAAATAAAGCTGCACCCTTACAATCATCTGATATGTCACAAAGCCAACAAGAACAAGCAATGTGTCAAGGACTCATATACACTATGTACATATATACCATGGAATACCATGCAGTCATAAAAAAACAATGAAATCATGTCCTTTGCAGTGACATCGATGGAGCTGGAGGCCATAATCCTAAGCTAATTAATGCAGGAACAGAAAATCAAATATCACGGTTATCACTTATAAGTTGGAGCTAAACAATGAGTCCACAGGGACACAAAGAAGGGCCTGATAAACACTAGGGCCTATTTTAAAGTGGAGGGTGGCAGGAGGGTGAGGATTGAAAAAGTACCTATCAAATAGTATGCTGATTGCCTGGGTGACAAAATTATCTGTACTCCAAGCCCTTGCAACACACCATTTATCCATGTAACAAACCTGCACATGTACCCCTTGAAACTAAAATAAAAGCCGAAAAGAAAAAAAAAAAAAAGAAAAATGGGCAAAACATATGCACAACTAATTCACAGAAGAAGAGCTACAAATAGTCACAAAATCTAAGACACTAAAACTGAGTAATCATGAAACACAAATTAAATTGATATGCCTTTTTTATTTTTTTCAAGGGGGAACACCACGTTGGAAAAATACTAAAACGTTTTAATAATGAAAAGTATTCATTGACTTTGTAAGGAAACTCACCACTTGACAGGACAGCAAATTGATAATGCTTTTTTGGAGGGCAATTGAGCAGTACCTGTTATACTGCCTAAGAATTTACATAGAACAGATTTTCTCATAACTAAAAAGAAGCTATATTTTTGGACGACATTTCAATGCTTATAATTACACAA